ACAGACAGTGAACGTGAATACAGATTATAAATGCAAGCACCTGGAGGAGGAGGAGGAGGAGGAGGAGGAGGAGGAGGAGGAAGAATCTTGAACCTAGCTTCACCCTTCCACTTGTGTGCAGAAATGCCCCACAATGACTGGGCCCTCAATATATTTCATTGTAAAAGCTCATTCTTGTAACAAAGTAAACCCTTTTCCTTTCAGAAGTATAGAGAAGAAAAGGAAGGTAACCGTCATTAGAGAAGAACGAGGATGATTTACCTCTCAGTCTGAAAACGAGCAGAAACAATGAAGGTCCCATTGACCTAGCTGCGCAGCACAACCTGTTCTGGTTCTTTCAGTGGCTCTTCGCAATTCTCACTGAGATTAGGCTCACCTGAAATGGAAAACCATAAACTGCTGAACAAGGGTCTGCATGCTGTTCATCTTAATTCAGTACTGTGTGATCTGTGTGGCTCAGTGATTAGAGCAGAGGAACACAATCTGAGGCCCTGCACACATGTTGTCCACAAAAGCCTTGAGTGTGGCCCCCAGAAAAGTATGGAAATTGCAAGAGATAAAGATTCAAGAGACCTTTCCTTAAAGAACCAACTGCAAACTTTCTCTTATCAGGGAAGAGACTCCCCTCCTGACCAGTTCATAGGAAGGCTGTGAGAAGGAGAATTAGAAAGACTTTGCCTTAATATATATGGGGATCTATTGCTTCTACCGAATATGGTTCACTTGCTGAAGTTCTTGTACCTTATCCCTTTCATCTCAGTATATCTTGCTAAGGAGAACCCTTTGAGAACTCTGCTTGGCAAATCATCATATTTGGGGCAGGCAGCTGCCCATGTGCCTGGCATTAGCTTTATTTAATTAAATAAATTAAAATAATTAAATCAATTATTTAATTAAGCCTGAATTTAAATTAAATTAAATTTACTTTTTGTCTTGGCTGCACCCATACGTTTGTTGAGGCTCCTCCCAATTTTTGGAATGTAGCCCTCATCACGCAACTCAGCGGCCACAGGAGGTCCAATGAAATCACCCCTGAGGAAAGCCCCTTGAAAACAGAGCAAGGGGAGCCGGGGGAGAGCAGTGCTCAGGGTCCCTTGGGGAAAACATGGAACATGGGAGGAGGAAAGGGAATAGGATGGAGTTCTTGAAAGAGAGTCTGGCAGTGTTGGTTGGAACCGTAAATGGGAGAACCTCAGACTGCAAAATTTTGTTTCAGGTCCCAGTGAGTCAGCCCAGTGAGTCAGCCCAGATCAAACAGAAACAGACACCACGTAGACCTAAAACTACTTTTATTAGAACACTAATAGTAAAAGTAACTTTTTGTAAGTCGCCCATAGTCCCCTATTGTGGGGGAAATGGGCAGGGGGAGAAATCTGATAGATAGATAGACAGACAGACAGACAGACAGACAGACAGCATCTTGTATATCTGAATGTGCTTCCCTTCCTCCTTCTTTTATTTTCATGAGAATTGGGGGGGGGGCCTTTCTGAGGCATTTTCATAAACCACTTTCTTGGCCTGGGTTCAAGTCATCTTTATCTGATCATTGCCTTTGTAGCGGATCTTCTCTCTGTCCTTTAAGGCCATCCCCTATACCCCCTACACAATTGGACTGGTGTAAATATATAACGAATGGGGGGGAAATAAAGATCTCCCAAAGTACCTTTTTGTCAGCATACTAATTTGGATTACATTTTTTCCTGAGATTTTAAAGGTATAATTAATTTAAGGGGAAGTCAATCATATTAAATTCCATGTCTTGCTTGAGTACATCTCATAGCTTTTCCATGTTATTTAAAAACAATTTCAGCAGACTGCCCCCCAACTTTTATGTAGAAGAAAAAAATGCCCAGATATGTCAATAGTTTCCCTTCCCCACCTTAGTACAGCTCTGAAAGCTACCCAAGTTGAGGAAACTTCACTTAAAGAAGATTGTTGCTACATTTAAATCCTTTGGAGGATGTAATTTTCACTTGTCCCACTGAAGCCAACCAAATATTTTAAAGATTTTTTTTTAAGATTGGGTAAATCAATTCAGTTCCAGGGCCCAGTCCTAAACTTACTCAGATATGATATGTTAAACATAAATAAATACAATATAAAGGACTGGTTTCCATCTACCAACAATTATTTCCCCAGAGATCAGCTATATAATGAACATCCCTTCCAGAATGCATCCAGATGCTTTTATTAGTTCTAATCCAAGCTAATTATTGTAGTGCATTATCAAGAGCCTTCTCTCACGCTATGCTAGCAACATAACCTTCCAAGGTAATGAAATGCAATCTTCTGCAACTTCTTGTACTGGGCTGCTTCTCCTGAAATTAATGTAAATTAGCAATGGAACCCAAGTCGTCTTTTTAGTACAAATGACTTGGCTCAAGGGATTCTAATGATATTAAATGCCTGCAATTAAGGGGAGGTACTTTCTAATAGAAAGAGAATGGTTCAGCCACAAAAAGGTGGCACTCCTTACTATTTACTTAGAAAAGGTTACCATGGTGTCTCAAAAGATTTGACATTCAACAAATGACAAGACTACAATTGTTTACTTCTCTGGGAAGAAGGTCTACTGATGTCAAAGGGGCTTACATCCAAATATACTCAGTTAAATATGTCATTTTCATCACTTTTTAAAAAAAATCTTATTGAACTCTACGCACAGATAACTAGTCACATAGAAAAACTGGTTTATGGACCCATAGGAGCAGATCCAAGGGCATGTAAAGACTTTTAAAGGAGAAGAGTAATTAAAACAATCTAATATTGGGTTTTGCTTATATTGTAGGAAATATTCCTCCTTCAGTACCAAGTTTTCCAAGGTAACTTACAAACACTTCAACCTTATAGTTCTTTAAAGATAAATGGGTAATTAAAAATATACAGCATGGTTTTGAAAGAGCAGAAACTACAGGAATAAAATTAGATTAAAAGTTGCCATCACAGCAAACATTATTAGCGAGCGAATAACTTGAAATAAATTAAACAAGAACTCCCAGGAAAAAAACGTCCTTGCTTGACCCTGAAAGGGAGCAAAGTAAATGTTTGTTGTAAGGCGCCCAGAGTCCCCCATTGTGGGGAGATGGGCGGGGACAAGTCAAATAAATAAATAAAATAAATAAAATAAAATAAATAAAATGCCAGGGATACATTCCAAAGCTGAGAGGCCACCAGCAAAAAGGTCCATTCCTGCACAGCCACCTACCAAAACCCAGCACAGGGGGAAATCAAGAACAGGAATCTCTGAAGAGATCTAGAGCTCAGGTATGAAGATAAAAGAAGAACTTTTCCTTCAGATATTGTGGCCCTGAGCTGTAATTATGCTGGTTAGTTCTTACACACTGAAGAACATTTTTTGTAGTAGCTATGGCATAAGTGGGCTTGAAACAAACACAATGTCCTATGAATCCAGAAACGATGACAATGAATGCTAGGTGACTGAGTTGGTGGCTTTACCATTTAGTGGGATGTTCAGGTGCATTTCTTGAGGTGTATCCTCAGGTCCTTTTGTATTCATAGGCAATTTAGCTGCAGTCTTGAGAGTCAGATGCACTGGGAACAGAACTGAGAGGATGCACTTGAAGGACTACAGAGATGTGGGAGGAATCTATTGAAAAGGGTGTTGCATCACTGGTTTCCTGATTCTTCTCGCTTGAGAGCTTTGTTGGCCCCTCCTCTAACAGTGGGTCTGAGATATGTCTGCTTTGATCTTTCTGCCTTTTTTTTCCTGCCCATCTCTTTGCACAAATTCTTCTACAGAAAGAGAACAACATGCACACACATATATTAGATTTCCTGTCAGAGTGTGGCATTTTCCTAGGACGTGTCTGGCCAAGATTATTTTAAATGCATGGCTAGGGGTCCTGTGCTCAGTATGTTCAGTTACTAAAATAAGACCAACCATGCTGGTTTTCAGACCAAAGGCCTATTTCCGCCAACCTGGCGCCTTCCAGCAATTTTGGACGCTAATTCCCAACAAATATAGTCACATAGCCAGTATTAAAGTACTACAGAATTTCTCCTTCAGAATATCTGTGAGAGCAGATTTTCTACCACTCATCTATCTAGTAGAGTATCATCTAGAGTGAGCCACAAGGTTTAACCAAAAGATCCCATCATATATCCACTTAGTTTAACACACTGGTATACAGATACATCTGGCCATAATATCCTCAATTCAAGTTAGTAATTATGTACATACAGTCATGTGAAAAAGAAAGTACACCCCCTTTGAGTTCTATGGTTTTACATATCAGGGCATAATAAAAATCATCTTGCCTTAGCAGTTTTCAAAAGTAGGTAAATACAATCTCAGATGAACAGCAACACATGACATATTACACCATGTCATCATTTATTTTATAAAAATAAAGCCAAAATGGAGAAGCCATGTGTGAAAAACTAAGTACACCAAAGAAAGTACACCCCCTTTGAGTTCTATGGTTTTACATATCAGGGCATAATAAAAATCATCTTGCCTTAGCAGTTTTCAAAAGTAGGTAAATACAATCTCAGACGAACAGCAACACATGACATATTACCCCATGTCATCATTTATTTTATAAAAATAAAGCCAAAATGGAGAAGCCATGTGTGAAAAACTAAGTACACCCTTGCTGCTTCCATAGGTATGAAGAGGCTCAGTAGCAGCCAGGTGCTGCTAATCAAATGCCCTTGATCATCAGCAAGTGTGACTACCTCTATAAAAGCCAAAGTTTTAGGAGTTTGCTGGTCTTGAGCATTGAGGTGTGTGTTAACGCAATGCCAAAGAGTAAAGACATCAGTAGTGATCTTAGAGAAGCACCTGTTGCTGCCCATCAATCTGGGATGGATTATAAGGCGATTTCCAAACAATTGAAAGTCCATCATTCTACAGTGAGGAAGATGATTCACAAGTTGGAAAACATTCAAGACTGTTGCCAATCTTCCCAGGAGTGGATG